CACCGGTTACACTCAGAGATGTGGCGCACACGTGAGGCTGTAGTGCGAATGCGTCCCAGCCCCCTTAGATGTAAGGCTACATTTACACTGGTGCGTTTATGTTCTAAAATGAAAACGATCCTCGTTATACTGGCGTTTCCACTGCATTTCAAGCCGGCTTTCCACCATCTCCGACAACCATGCACCAAGAGCTTGTAACACTCTAAAGAGAAAGGAAAAAATGAAATCGCATCATATGACCCCTTTAAAACTATTTGCACTGATTTATTGTGTTGGTTACATTTTGTTCCTTTGTGCAGTGGATCAGGAGATGAGTCTTTGAGTTTGTATAAACATCAACAAGCTGAAAAATAAAACCAAAAGTTTTTTTTTTTTAGATAATGTAATCTTGTTAAAATTGATTTCATAAAATTGGTTCGAAAAAAGTATCGTTCAGGAACCGGTATCGGTATCGAAAATTTTTTAACGATACCCAGCCCTAGTAATGAGTGACATTTGTATGATGCCTGTATTGAGCGTATTCAAATCAGTCAAGTCAAATTTATTTGTAAAGTGCTTTTCACAATACACATCATTTCAAATCAGCTTGACAAAGTAAATCAGTCACTCATGTGCTTCATCTCTGTTTGGATGCTAACAGTCAGACTGATCACTAGGTTTTGGAAGCAAACTCATTGGTGTGTTTCAGGAATGGACATGATAAATGGAGCGATAGACAGTCTGATGTCCGCCGCAGGGAAAGAGGACTGGACCCCCGTCCTGCTCAACGTCGCTGACGCCACAATTACTGTCATCAAAGAAAAGGTGACGCTTTACATTCTTGTGACAATTTCTACATTTTCTTCTGCCCTGAAATAGTTTGTGCATCAGACACTGTACAGAGACCTCAAACTTCCCACTCAGTACTCAGGCATACACATTCATCAGATTCACATTTTTGCTAAAAATTAAAAACAGCAAAAAGCATTCATTTCCATTTCCGCATAGACGATCATTTACGAACTAATCCTTGGATTTTGTCTGACTGTCATGAAATGTAGTCTAAAGACAAAAAAATTAAAAAAAATTGTAATTTTGATTGGATACTGATTTAGACACTTCTTACATTTACATTCTTAATAGTTTAACACATTTACGAAATAATTCATGCAAGTGTTAAAACATTTTTTTTTTTTCACTTGAGAAACCTTGCATTCGTTCACAAAAAGCACTGAAATAATTTTTTCCTCCCATCTAATTCTTTCCATCCATCATCATGTTCCTTTTAGGGGCTCTGCAAAATACAGAAAAGTGAAGCATGTTCGAACGGAAACATTTTGTGAACTAAAACACATTTTCTCAAGGGAATGCAAAATCTTAGTGAGTGAATGCAAAAAAAGTTTTAAATACATTTTACAATTTCATTCCTAAATACAATTTAACACATTTACCATATTCATGTAAGTGCTTTAAAAAAACAAAACATGAGACAGGAGGAAAAAAAAACTATATGCTTTTTGTGAACAAATGCAAAGTTCCTTAAGCGTACACGGTTTCGAAAGCGAACGCAAAGTTTCTCGAAAACTTAAACTCTGAACATTTTGTGAGCTACACGCTTAAAAATAAAGGTTCTTCACAGCAATGCCATAGAAGAACGGGTTCCACAAAGAAACATTAAGTCAAAGGTTCTTTAAAGAACCATCTCTTTCTTACATTTTTATAATCTGAAGAACCTTCTTTCGCCACAAAGAACCTTTTGTGAAACAGAAAGGTTCTTCAGATGTTAAAGATTCTTTATGCAACCATTTATACAAAAAGGTTCTTCTATGGCATCGTGAAACACCTCTATTTTTAAGAGTGTAACACAAAGTTTGAGAGTGAATGCAAAATGTTTGTAAGTGAATGCAAAAGTTTTGGTGACCTAATCGTTTCTTAAAGGAATGCAAAACTTTTGGGAGCCAACACAAAGTTTATTGATCGAGCGTGTTGTGAGCAAACAAGTTGTTCAAAACTTGAGGGCAAATGCGATCTTTCGAGAACAAACGCAACAATTTTCTGTGTAAATTTTACTGAAAGTGCTTTTTTTAAAAAGCAAAAAACGTGCTTCACTCTTCTGCATTTTATGGAGCCCATAAAGGGAAATGCAATGGAAAAAATGAGTTATGAGGAAAAATTATATTTCAATGCTTTTTGTCATCTAGAGACAAAAATGTGTTCAGTTGTTTTGCAGATATAAGCCAATGTAATTTGGGGTGCGACCCATGAGGACCGATATCAAATAATTTAGATTTATTCACTTACTTCGCAAACATAAATGCCAAGTTTGGCCCTTAATGATTAATTCACCTGTATATTTTGAGTTTAAAATGTCCAAATGACACAAAACTTGGTCCATATGGACACCAGGAAAATCTGAGGACAAATTCACTGCACAGAAGTCAAAACTGTGCGACTCAAGCTCTTCTTTTTCTGCTTGGATCCTGATGAAACATTCACAGGCCTGTGAAAGTAATTCAGAGCTGGTGACACCGGATAGACAGGTTTATTACTGTAATTTCTCTTCTGTTCGGACAGGAAGAGGAGGAGCAAGTCATAGTGGAGTGTTGCGTGCGCTTCCTGTCTTTCATGGGCGTGGGGCGTGATGTCCATACGTTTGCGTTCATCATGGACACGGGAAACCAGCACTTCCAGTGTCACGTGTTCTGGTGCGAACCCAATGCGGGAAGCGTGTCGGAGGCCGTGCAGTCGGCTTGTGTGGTGAGAACACATGTCACACGGAAATCACAAGGAATATTACAGGTTAAATACAACTTTAAACCAGGCAAGGTGAAACGTTGAGAAGGAACACTTGAGCGAATGAAAAATTGTGACCTAACACAAATTTTACTAGCCAAAGCAAAGTTTCTCAAGCAAACCCAAAACTGATTTAGATACATTTGCATTTTTTAATTTGACACACAGACTGAATCATTTATGCAAGTGTTATAAAAAACAAAAAAAGCTTTACGATAGCAAAAAATATGAGCTTCACTTTTCAGTATTTTATGCAAACACAAGGTTTCCAGAGGGCATGCAAAAGTTGAAAGCAAACACAAAAATCTCTCAAGAGAAAGCAAGCAAAAGTTTCTTGAGCAAATGCAAACATTTTATGAGTTAAAAGTTTTGGGAGCGAACTCAAAGTGTTGTGAGAAAACTATCATTGCGTGAGCTAACAAAACGTTTGCAAACAAATGTACATTTTCTTGCATGAACAAATATTTTATGAGCGAATGCAACAGTTTGAGAGCAAACACAAAAGTAAGTGAATACAGTAGTTTTGCAAACACAAGCTAACAAAAGTTTTGTGAGTAAAACTCAAAGTTTGAGGGAATGCATATGTTTTGATAGCAAACAACTTTCTCGAGGGAAAGCAAAAATTGAGACTAAACCCAACATTTCTCAACGGAATATTTTGTGAGCTAACAAAAGTTTTGTGAGCGAGTGCAAAGTGTTGTGAGAAAAAACAAATACAATTTGTGAGCTTACAAACGTTTGAGCGAATGCAACAGTTTCAGAGGTAATGCAGAAGTTTTTCAAACAAACTATTTCTTTAGGGAATGCAAAAGTTTGCAAGCGAACAAAGTTTCTTGAATGAATGCAAACGCTGTGAGAAACATTGAGATCAAACTCAAAGTTTGAGGGAACACATGTTTTGATAAGCAAACGCAAAGTTTCTCAAATGTAAAAATTGAGACTGAATGCAAAGTTTCTCAGGGGAACATTTTGTGAGCTTAGAAAAGTGTTCTGAATGAACGCAGAGTTTTTTGATTGAACTCAGAATAACAATTTCTAACAGAATTTTTGGCAAAGGCAGAACTTAAGCGAACCCAAACATTTGAGTTAAAGGGGTCATATGATGCGATTTCAAGTTTTCCTTTCTCTTTGGAGTGTTACAAGCTGATTGTGCATAGATAAGATCCCTGAAGTTGCAAAGACTAAAGTCTCAAACCAAAGAGATATTCTTTATCAAAGTTAAGACTCTGCCACGCCCCCCTAAAACGGCTCGTTCTAACACGCCCCCACATATCTACCCCACTATGTGGAAATATTTGCATAATGCACCCAAATGTGCACGCAAAGAAAGAAGGCGCGGTTTCAGTAACCACAGTTAGTGTTGATGCAGCCATGTCAGGGAGACGCTGTGTGATTCTAGGCGAAAGCAAAAGCACTTTACTTGGCCTTCCGAAAGTAGATGCATTAAGATTACTTACAACAGAACAGCAATGCATTTTATGGACGACCGTTTCGTGAACCTAGGAGAGGAGGTAATTCTGACTTTGCTATGACAATCTGGCGCTTCTGAATCAGCTACTGTTTTGTTATTAGTTTAAGTATTTGCTATTGACTGTTCAAATGCGGAGTTTTGCGCATCGGGTGTGTGTGTGTGTGTGTGAGTGTGCGCGCGCGCGAGCGAGAGAGAGAGAGAGAGAAAGAGAGACAGGGTCACATCACAGTGGAGTCAGCTGTCTTAACCGTGGCTTGTGTACTGCAAACACATACCAGCTTCATCACTGTGTCTGTCACGCGACTCTGTTCCCCTTTCGGGCTTGAACTGATGGTAAAACTAATGACATTATTTACTGTCTTTACATTTATTTTGAAAGATGAAGCTCGCGATTATGGTAAGGGGCGTTACATTTCCGACGAGTGCTTGCGGTGTTCGGCCAATCACAATGCACTGGGTCAGCTGGCCAATCAGAGCAGACTGCGCTTGTCGGAAGGAGGGACTTTGTAGAAAACGAAGTGTTTGAGAGAGGCGGGGCATAGAGGACCTACAATAATGTACAGTATTTGAAAAATAATGTGTTTTTTGAACATTAAAGCATGTCAACATATTCTGTTACACCAAATACACAAAATAATGATCTTTATAAAAGCATCATATGACCCCTTTAAAGGTTTTTAAAGCAAATACAAAATGTTTGTGGATGAATAAATGCATACATTAAGATCTACCAGAAAAGATGTTAGGGAACACAAAAATTGAGACTGAATGCAAAGCTTCTCAAGGGAACATTGTGTGAGCAAACAGTTTCTTGAGTGATCACAAACGTTGTAATATTACAAAAGTTTTTTGTGCAAACACAAAGTGTTGTGAGGGAACGCAAAAGTTTGCGCGAATGCAAGCATGTTAGCTAACAAACGTTTTGTGAGCAAAGTTTGAGGCAGTGCACTTGTTTTGAGAGCAAATGAAATGTTTAGAAAGCAAAAGCAAACATGTTAGCTAACAAATGTTTATTTGAGCGAATTTAAAAAGTTTGAAAGAATACATAAGTTTGGAGAGTAAATGCAAAGATTGTGTGCAATCAACTCAACAAAACTTGTTCGCTTAAGAAATTTTGCATTAGGCAAAAACGTTTGTTAGCTCACACAATGCTTGTGTTTGCTGCAAGCAACTTTTGCTTTCATTCACAAATGTTTTGTGTCCCCTCGAGAAACTTTGCGTTCGCACTCAAATATTTTGCGTTCCTTTGAAAAACTGGTGTTGGCTTACAAAATGTCTCCAACAAATTTTGCATTCAAAGTCTCAAAATGTTTGCGTTTACTCACAAAAAATTGTCAGCTCACGTTTGCATTCACTCATAAAACGTTTAATTCAAAATTAGTTTTCGTTTTTAGATGAATGACGAGTTTATTTTCTGGTGTGAGCGACAGCATGCCACAGATTCTGTACATAAAGTGTTAAGTTGTAGAGTGAAGTGTATCGTACATCGTTTATGGGTTAAATCTGTGGTTTTCTCTAGTTGCGGTATCAGAAGTGTCTGGGGAAGACCGGCTCCTTGACTCCGCCCCCTACCGATTCAGTCACCCGCCGCGTAACGTCCAGCGTCAAGCGTGGCGTCCAATCAATTATAGACACTCTGAAAAAGAAGCCCGCACCCGAGGTTCCCCACCAATGACGGAACAGAACGGCTGTGACGGACAGCAGGGGTGTGTGTGTATTTACTGATGCAAACGAGAAGAGAAACACAGGCCAACATAACAAAAAAGACAAGCGAGATGAATGAGAGGATGTCGGCGCTGAATGAAGCATGCGTCTGCCTTACACTAACACATTCTCACTCAAGTATTTCGAGGGCGTCAGTGTTCATGTCGCACTGATCTCGTCACGCTCAGATCAATGTAAGTCTTCACGCGCGTGGCCTTGATTCAAGCCACAGTGCGTTTCATTTCAAACCACCCGCTCATTCACACACTCGGGAAATTGGATCCTTTGAAAATGTTCCTTTCCCCAAGAAATTTAGAGTGAATTTTTATCATCATATCTCGATGTTCAGTGGGAATATTGTAATACATCAGAGTTTGTCTGTAACATCTGCTCAGTCGGATTCTGTAATGAAGAGTGGAACGGGGATTTTTTGATCACACAAACACACACACTTACTCCTTTAGTTAAACACCAAGGCCTGAAAGAGTCCATGCGCAAGTACGCAAACACAGAGATGCATATGTGACCCTGGACCACAAAACCAGTCTGAAGGGTCAATTTTTGGAAATTGATATGTATACATCATCACGCTGAATAAATAAGCTTTCCATTGATGTATGGTTTGTTAGGATAGGACACTATTTGGCTGAGATACAACTATTTGAAAATCTGGAATCTGAGGGTGCAAAAAAATCTAAATATTGAAATATCTTCATGGAACATGATCTTTACTTAATATCCTAATGATTTTTGGCATAAAAGAAAAATCTATAATTTTGACCCATACAATGTATTGTTGGCTATTGCTACAAATATCCCCCAGCGACTTAAGACTGCTTTTGTGCTCCAGGGTCACAAATGTGTTCTGCTTTTGTACAAACTCTGAGTGTTCCTGTGGCAGTGAAAGACCTCAGTATTCAAAATAAGCTCCTTCAAATGTATAAATGACATTAAACCAGATGTTTTTATTCAGATGTCCAGCTAAAGATATCAAAGTTAGTCTGTTATGTGTGAAATAATAGTTTTTTAAATGAAAGAGTTAAGCAGTTTGAACCTTTAGACAATGTATATATATAAAAAAAAGTTTCCATGTGTGTTTTATGTTGAGTATCATATTTGCTCCATCAGGCTTTTATGGCTCATATAGTCTGATAGAGTGAGAATATGAAGTTAAAACAGCTTGTGATGCTTCCGATACTTGTAATGTAGATCAATGAGATCTTTATAACAGTACAGCAGATACTGATTATCTAAATATCAGTGGTCGCTCTACAGGTGCATCTCAAATTAGAATGTCGTGGAAAAGTTCATTTATTTCAGTAATTCAACTCAAATTGTGATTCCTCCGCTGAGGAACAGTGAAAGTAAAGCTTCTGGAAACAAACGCTCCTCAAAAGATCCTGAGGATCAGATTTGAGACTCTAAAACATGATTGATGGAGAATCAAGTAAAGCTGAGCTGCTTCAGTCCAGTAAGTGTTCATCTGGAAATATTACTGCAGTTATTCTGACGTTTACTTGATAAAAATCAGTCAAGATTTGACAGCAGAAAGACACTGAAGCACCAGCTGAAGCCAATTACACTAAAAGAGCTTTGACTGGATAAAAAAAAAAATCTAAACTATCAATCAGACGAAAGAAGGCGTGGAGGAGATTAACAAAATACATATAAATGTTGAACTTTTATTAGATGATGAAACCGCTTCACAATATCTATGTTGATTCAACCTTGATCAATACCATTGAAATGCTGAGACGAAAAACCTCTTATTTTGGTGTGTTGGTGACATTTTCACAATTGCATCTCAAATGGTAAAATAAAGTCCCTTGGTTATTTTTTCATTAAGTATTCCACATGTGAAAGTAAAATGGGATGCAAACCATCTTGACTCAACTTTACAAAGCAACATACTCTTAAAACCGTTTCTTCACCATGACTCCTTGAGAAACTGTAGAGGACGTCGATTTACACTAACGCCCGCCGTGCTGAAGATGCAAAACATACTTGCATTGCATTATGAATAGTGGAACGCAGTGATGCATGACCTGAGCTTGCTTTGCTAAGAGATTTTGCGTACTTGCATAGAGCGTTTCAGGCTTTCACATACATGAGGAGTCCCTGCTAGAGCAGAAGCTTCAGATGTCAAACAAACACAAGAATGTTATTCCTCACAAAGTGGTATTTAAAACCAGATTGACCACTAAGACACTCATTTTTACACCATATTAATGTACCATGTTGTGGAAATAAATTAAACCAAAATAAAAGTGTCTCTCCGTGTTTTATTTGCATGTAAATTCAGGTGACATTGGAAAATATGCATGTTTTGTTTTGATGGCAGTGACACTCAAGTTTAGTAATAATGAGTTAGTTGGGCTCTTGTACGGTAGGAACTGGAGAAAGGGTTGGGGGCGGGGCCTGTCCTGGAAGAACCGCCCTGAGAGGGACATCGAGGACTTGAGGGTTTATCTGTGGAGATACAGAAGTAAATAGGACGTTTGTCAGTTTTCCTCAGTAGTTTACTCATCAGGATTAACAAATCAAATCAAGCTAAAGCTAATGTTATGACATGTATTGGTTAAATTGAAGTAACCATAGCGTGATGGACCCCGAGGCCCCTGAGTTCTGCCGTTCTGTTGAGTCGGTGTCGGCTCAGAGCTGCATCCTTTCATCTCACGTTTAAAAAATTCCACCACGCGTGATTGGTCACTCTGTGTGGCGTGTTTTTGATTGGCAGGTGCCCTGCAGGACCGTCGGCCTCGGCCTTCTTTCTTCATTGGCTAGTTCGGGTGGAGGCCGTCTAACAAGCCTTTGGCCGCTGCGTGAGCAAGCACTTCCTGTGGCGTTTCTATCACTTCTAGTTCAAGACAAAAAAAAGACCAATAAAAATAGGCTGAAATGTATTTGAAACACAGTATTATGTGTGCAGGGCCGGATTTACCTCTTTTCGTGGCATAGGCAACAAAAATTTTTGGGCCCCCTTTCCCTATTAATATAATAGACCTAATATTACCACCCAAGCAAACAAAAATATTTCTTAATCAGTGGAAACAGTTACAGTGTTTTCTATCGCAATAAGTGCTTGCGTTCAGTCAATCAATATTGAATGTAGTTCTTAATTTGTTTGAGAACTGAGAAAGACTGTTCTATATAGGCGTGGCGTCGTGGCCACATAACCACTTCGGGAGTGCATTATTTCTCTAATAATTTTAATGGCCTGGAGTCACAAATCACACATCAAGACATTGTTCAGATGATTTGTTTCAAGACATTTGACATGTTTCCTTCCTGAAATCTCGTATGTGTTGAACTAATTTTTTGCGCACCTCATCTCAAACGTTCAGTTACAAATTTCAAAACGTCATTTTAGAGCTAATAACGGAGGCTTGAGCCATTGATATGCAATCTAATGCGATAGATAGATAGATAGATCTGCGTCTCTCAGCAGCGTTCAGCAGCAGCGTCTACTAATAGCGAATCTTTAAGTTAAACTGCTTCAAGAACCTTGATACTGAGAAATGTCATGTAGCTTTTCAGCAGCGAAACTATTTTATTGATCAATTCGCGGTGCAGCGCTGACAATAAGTTTCTGTCCGCGTCTCCGTTGAATTTATTTAATACACGAGTTTCACAATCTGAGTTGAATTACTGAAATAAATGAATATAAAAATATATAAAAATATAAAAACACATTAAAAGATTAAACGGGGAAGAACCAGAATAATGCCACATCTGAACCAAAAAAAATAATCTCACACACACACACGCACGCACGCACGCACGCACGCACACACCTTTCTACCTCATAAACAATTTCAGTGGGAAATCATACAGCAATACAAGGAACAGAGATGAAAACAGCAGTGTTTGTTTGAGTCTCAACTAATTAAAAACAGAATAAAATAAAAAGGCCAAAAGTTATAAATAATAATAATAATAATAAAAATAATAATAAAAACGTCAAAAGTAATAGTAAAATAAAATGTTAAAAAAATAATAATAAAATGATCGAAAATCTTAATTTTTTTCTGAAATATGAACCAATTTTTTTGTAAACAAACAAATAAATAAAATAAATAAATAGGTAATCAGTTGAACTGTGGGGAAATGCTTCCTAAAATGCTTTTGTACTTTATTTTTTAAAAACATTTTTTAGAACATAAAAAAAAAAAAAAATCACTAAAGATGTGAAATTATAATAGTAAAATATTTTTTTTAATATATACACATTTTAATTTTCATAAATCTTTGTATATTTTAAAATGCATTAAAGAAAAAATAAAAAATTGTGCCCAACTAAAACTAAACTTTCAATTTTTCAGGGAAAAAGAAAATCTAATAAATTAGGTCTTGTCTTTGTGAAGCATGTTGGACCAGCGTGTGTGTGTTTCTTACAGGGTCACTGCTGTCTCAGCACCACACACACACACTCTTGCAGTGAATAATTCAGCTGGTGTGTGTGTGTGTGTGTGTGTTTGAGGACGTGAGGTTTTGCCCTGTTGATGCTAACACATGCAGACATGAGGGCTGAATTATTCAATATGTCCTGCACTCTTCCTCCTCCTCATCACACATTTATTGCCCATCCTGTGGTTCTGATGCGGTCCGGCCCCAGATTACGCTCATTATGTTTGTCCTTTAGCTGAACATGAGGTCAGACACTGAAACGGACCCTCATAAGTGACCGATGTGAAACAAGAAATGAGATGCAAACGCGCCAATCTTTCGTCTGAAGACTTTATTAGTCCCAGGTGCGACCGCACAGATGCATCATAAAGCCGCGTGTTACGGGAGGAGGGTAATATTCCCACACACGTCTAATAGCCTTTTTATGAGACCCTTTTAAGCGAATGACTATGATCTTTATTAGTGGCTTTTATTGATCATGGCGGCTTGATGATGTTTTCCTGACTGTCAGCGCAGAAATAAATATGACAGATCACTGTAATCTAACTCATCGTATATGAAACATATACATCATGTCGTTTACTGGAGTTTAACTTTGATCCAGCAGGAAGCTCTTCTCTCTTTCTCTGTCTCTGCGGTGTTATTTTTAGCTGCAGATGAAAGCAGAGGGAGGGAAAGACGGGATTCCTCAAGAGACACACAGCAGAATTAGTCAATGAGAACATAGACATGAGAAAGAGCGTCTCCATCAATCCCCAGAGAAACTCCCAGCATGCTTTGAGCATCAACTAGCAAAACAACATCTCACACAAAAACAACCAGCCTGAAAGCACTATATCTGCTCCAGCGCACAGGCTCACTCCATCCGTTTATTTTATTATTATTATTTTTTAATTATTATACACACAGAAAAATACAAAAATTAGGCTTGAAAATATTTTCAGGAATATAAACCAAAAAAATATTTTATTATTATTTTTAATTATTACACACACACACACACACACAAATCAGTTATTTTACTACTGTTTTTGGATTTGTACATTTTTTAAATCTAAATATACATATTGTTCAAACTATATAAATTATATAAAAACAGAAAAAAATATTTCATTACAGTAAACTTTCCAATATTTACACAAATATATTTTAAAT